CTCTGCCTCCCCTATTGTATATAACTACCACAGGGGACTGAAGCATGATATCTGCCTCCCCAAGAGTATATAACTACCACAGGGGACTGTAGTACGGTATCTGCCTCCCCAAGAGTATATAACTACCACAGGGGACTGAAGTACGGTCTCTGCCTCCCCTATAGTATATAACTACCACAGGAGACTGTAGTACGGTATCTGCCTCCCATAGAGTATATAACTACCACAGGGGACTGAAGTACGGTCTCTGCCTCCCCTATAGTATATAACTACCATAGGAGACTGTAGTACGATCTCTGCCTCCCCTACAGTATATAACTACCACAGGAGACTGTAGTACGATCTCTGCCTCCCCTATAGTATATAACTACCACAGGGGACTGTAGTACGGTATCTGCTTCCCCTATAGTATATAACTACCACAGGGGACTGAAGTACGATCTCTGCCTCCCCTATAGTATATAACTACCACAGGAGACTTTAGTACGATCTCTGCCTCCCCTATAGAGGAGACTGTAGTACGGTATCTGCTTCCCCTATAGTATATAACTACCACAGGAGACTGTAGTACGATCTCTGCATCCTCTGCAACATATAGCTACCAAAAGGGATTGAAGCATGATCATTGTCTCCTCTATATTAATAACGACTATATTTAACAAGAGTCTTTGTGGATGACAAATCCCAAAAAATAAAGTTGAAGTGTTAGATGTAGCCCCTGTAATGTAACTTCACCCTTCAAAATATCAGGCTTTAAACACACCGCATCTTGAAATTTTTGTTTTCATTTCTAAATTTTCCCAGTGACTTAAGAGCAAAATAAATCGACCCGAATGTTATAAAAAAAAACAAAAAAAAACCAATGTCTTATACAAGCTTATCTTAAATGAAAGGCAACATGGGCTCAACTCCATTGAAAGGCCATATATAAAGGTGCAAGTTTGGCCGAAAGTGGGGTTTCCGGTACCAAAAGGGGTAGGGTGAATCATAAATATAATTTGCTGTTTTTAAAATAAGCTAAAACAATCTAAATAAGTCTATTTCTATTTTTGAAAACATGTGTAAATAAAAAAGGCAAAAATAAAAGAATAAAATATGACAGAAATTCAATCGTCACTTAAAGATTGTTTACATAAAACGGAGGATTAAGTCGGGGTTCTTTTAAGTAATTTTCAAATGAAAAGCGTTTGTTTTATCAGTCATTTTCTTTCTAATTTATATTTTGAGTTGAAAATTACAACTTTACTTATTTGAATACACTTACATATTACAGTAATACACGTCATGACCGGATGCGCAGTGGATAATCCCCGTAAAAGAGATGCCCGTTTCTGGAGCAAAAATATGAATTTACGGTGGATTATTTCACATCACCTGGCCCAAAGTTGTATTGTGTGTAATTAATTGCTATATAATTTGTGCATGGAAGATGATGCCAGCAAACATATTCAAAAATTGAATCTCTTTCCTGTCGAAGATATAACACATTACGCTGGTACTGTGTAGCTTTTATAATCGTTTAACTATCACTTCCTTTCTTATAAGGTCTGCTTTAGAGATTATTACTCAACAGCTATTTCTATTCTATTACACGTAACCTACTAGACAATAAAATGGGTCAACAACTAGAAGTAACTAATTATATAATAAAAATAATTATAGTGAGAGACCAGAGAATCATAATAAGTGGGAACTTTGTTCACCTGACAACCCGGGTAGGCCAGGATTATCACATTTGGCTTCGTTTTGAAGACATACAATTATTCCTGTCTAGCAGTCTTTATAAAGATCAGGAAAATCTCGTCGACACGGTGTTTTATAAATCCATTTTATTTAAAATACACGTATTTGAACAAAAAACATCCACAGCCTGACTGCGCGCTATAATCAAGATGCGTAGATTTTAATCTTGAAAATATTGAAATCTGTGTATCTGTCCGTTTAGTTAATTGTACTCGATTTAATGAATATCATTGGGTAGGGGAGATAACAGTAACGTACACCTCACGTTTGCAGGTGACAAAATGTTTCATCAAAACTTTATTAATTTATAAACCTCACGACATTTCATAATTTCAGGTTAAGCATTAAACAGAGGAGTGAACATTTGTGCATCGCTTTCCATTTGTTAATTATACAGAAATGCAAATGAGTTTAATCCAAAGTTTTCGATTTCCACAATTTCCTTATAAAAAAGTGTCTCATCGGATGGAAGTTTGGCTAGAAAAATATACACAACAGAGCTTTTAAAACCCAATATCTCCAAATGTTACCTCAAATTTAATTGAGTAATTTGAATATTTTAATTACAAAAAAAATCTTTAAAAAAAATCCACATCGTCAGAAGTAGGTAACAGGTGTATAATAAGCGTCATTGATTGCAAGTAAACAATTATAAAATAGGGGTTTTATGTACCTTCCCTTCTGATTCAACAATAGTTTAGATTTAGTTAGAGTCCATCGTTTTGGCCCCTAGAGTTACCCCATCACAGTAGACTTTGCACGGCACTGCTAATAACGCGATACCTCTTTAGATTAAAAATAAAAAGGGGGTATGAGCCCTATAGCAGACCTGTGACATATTTTATATAACGTAATTTAAAGTTATACTGTCATTGTATTCTAGGTTATTTCCTCTTCATTTTTGATATGAGATGCTATTATTTTCGGGACGTTTTGTTGCAGGTACAATTTTTAATTATTAATTTAATGTTGTAGTAAAAGTATTACGATAATAGACGTCTATCAGACAATTTAGAGGGTTGGAGGCCAGATCGTTCTATTTAATGGGAACTTTCTTCACCTCACAACCCGCGCTTGGCCAGGATTATCACAATTTAGTCTACCTACTTTCAAATAAACTGGTATTGTGAGGAAATATGTGTGTACCGCTAGCTAGCTCCATATGATTTTATACTTCTGGGAAATCTACAAGACCCGCTTAATCATAATACTTCCTAGGGATGATGTCAATGTTTGACCTTTTAGGATACAATGTGATCATTATCAAACACAAATCTGATAATATTTCGAAATTCTGAAGACGTTTTGAATAAAATGTCATCTTTGATTTAAACTATGATTAGGATAAAGGCGACAATGGTTTTAAGGGGAAAACGCCTGCACTGTTACTTGACCGTTGACCTTCACATGATATGGAGAATTGAGGTAGAAGTACAAGTGTCGTATACTAAACGTGTTTACAAGTGATGTATTTCCTTTTAATTATTTATAGGTATAATGGCTATATCCTGGTTTCATATCTAAATGCTGCTAAACAAACATGTATAAGGAAACGAAAAAACGTCCCACTCCTAAATTTCTGAGCGTTAAGCACGAGTAGAATGTCTCGGCCAGGGGACAGAACCCAAAGCCTTCCTCACAGGGGCGAACGCTCAACTAAATGCCAAAAGTGAGGCATTGTCAAGGGAGACATTAGGAAGAAGAAAGTGCTTTAGAAAGAAGAGAAAAAGATAAGATCCCAAATTTAGTCGCCTCTTACGATCATGCAATTGGGGCAGCAGGTAAAATTCTTACGCCCTTCCTGCAGGGACTTTATCAAAACGGAACTGGTAAAGTAGTCTATGATGAAGCAGGATACCAGAGATGTGGTTGTATCATAATTGTATGGCAAGCCACAATAGCATCATAACGTATACCATTAGTATAGCTGAGATTTCTTTTAACAATTGAAATAAAAGATTCATTAGATATACAAAAATATCTCTTAAAAACCGATATATTGTTTTCAAAGCAAATATATAAGATCCTTCTCATCTTCATAAAATACCTTATTAATACATAAGTATATAAAATATAAACTTCATATATTTTACAACAATTATGAAACAAGTTATTTCAACTAATATTAATACCTCTTGTTGGCCCAGATGTTAGCGCGAAGGGGTCTTAGTGTGGAAGGAAACCAGAGTACCCGGATAGAACCCACGTGGTCGGGCTGGTGCCCCAATACCTTTCGCTATAAATCTACTGCGCGAACCGACCACCCATGATATGTAAGTTTTACATATACGTCTGTATACCATCGAAAGATAGGTTCTGCGATAGAGACACTAGTCGTCGGCTAAAGCCAATAGAAGGGTTGTGTTTATATTTTAATAATTACTATATGATTATTTTAATGTCTTTTTGCTATATTTTCGTGTAATGGAATTGTTTGTGACTTGCCAAAGTAAAGGGTTGCCACCATATTTGACAAATTAAGTGAAGTTGCACTGTGTTATTAACTTCTTTGCATACATAAAAATGAAAGTAGATTTTCGGTAGGTAGGTGAGCAAAGAAAGATACTAGATGCCTAAAAGATGTGGGGAAATTTAAACAGGAAAAGTATCTATAATGATCCCAAATACTGTAGCAGGCTCTACTCGGTTTACAGAAGAAAGAAAACTCCCACTTTATTCACCACATTGAAATGATTGTGATAACTTCCTTGCGTATAGTGCAATGTGTACCACCACATAGTATTGTTGAGTGGGAGTTGTAGCTCGTTTGTAAATCTGTTTCTTCCTTCCACGAATACAACCCCCTATATCACGGAAATATACACTCATACATTCTGATAAAAATGCATTTTGTAGGTATATATACAACTGATAAAGCCTAGCTTGACCTGGATAGATGAAGTTACACTACTGATATCTTTACAAACGAACTTTACCTTGATCAAGGTCCATCCCCTGTATATGCAAGGACATTCAATATTTACATGGCGGCCCCAATACTAGACTTTTTAACATTTACAAAGATGGTTGCAGTATTAAATATCTATAAACCTGAAACACAATAAATATATTCAATTTTGTATTTATTTATTAATTAAAAAAACGTTTGGCCCATGAACAATGCTTGTTGGTCTAAACAATATTATCTATACCACACTGCAAGCCGAAAGCTGACAGGACTTGAAACAGATCGCCGGCTCAGATAACGTGTGTACCCAACTCAGATGACGGAGTCACTTAACGACACTGATGCACAACCGGACCCGCAATCAAATACTGTTACGAACAGACACAAACGTTGTACAACACCAGCTAGCGGATATCACGAATTCAGCAACTGCATGGAGCCCATGATTTCATCTTCTCAAGGTTAAGAAACATCATTATGTTATGAACAATGAGATAAAATAGAATGAGAAGCAAAAGTGAAAAGGTAAGTTTTATTTTATATCATTGTTGCAAAGCTACAGAACAATATATTGAAGGACTATATTTTTTACCTAGATCTACGTTGTCAACTTTGTTACGATGTCACTAGGATGTATACGACAATTTTATGCAAAAAATACTACTACTGATTTGTGGCTATGCTAACACTTGATATGATGACACGGGAAATCCTGTAACCAGGAAGAGTTTAGTATGATAAGTATAGCAAACCTACAGTTAACGATAGTGAAGAAAACTATAGTGAATATTGTAAAACTTGTTTTTATAATTTTTATTTGCAATAAACTGATGTAGTATTTCATAGAAATGCATTCAGAATGTTGATACTCAGACAAGTTAATTACTAATGGCGTCAATACAACTAGTAATCTTGTTTGATGCATTTGCACTGCTCTCGTGTAAACAAACTTATCATTCAGGATCGTTTATAAACAGTTACACAGGAGAGAAATGCATGCAACTCATTTAGCTTAAATAGCTTTTTATCAAACTTTATAATGAATGTTATTAATAACTTTCCTACAGATTTGTATTGTTGCTAATCAAGCTCTTTTAACCCTAAAACATGCATAATTAATTTCAGGAAATTCTCGTTTGAGATCCAAATTCATTCCGAACATCTCTTTAAGTATATGTAGCTTTAAGTTTGAACATATTTCATTGCCAAAATATCGAACATGGGATTTGACAAAGTAATTTAAACTTTTATCTACGGTTTTAAACGCTATACCGGTTTACGTGATGTCAATCACATGTATTGTTAGCTTGATATCACATTAATGTGAAACATGTAAGATTTTGTAATTATCAGAACTAATGAATTATCAATATATATTATATGATCCACAGCTGTCGCTATCAAGTTATCAACGCCATATTGGAACGAGGGATATCAATAATATGTCTTGTCAGCTTTATGTATCATTTTAACTGTCGTTATCATAATTTCAAATTTTAACTTCCTTTTCTGCAAGCTAACAAAGCTTGTTGTAATTCGATCATTGCTAATTATCAACGCCACAGGGACACACTAATGAGCGATTATTTCTTATCTCTCAAACTTATTAAGGCCCAATAAAACATAAATTTCACTAATTGCATTTCCATTATTTTTTTATGTAATTAAGCAATTAATTTCTATTTAATAAAGGACCAAGCTTCATGAACAAAACTTCATAACTTAAACCAAACATAATGAATTCAACAGCACAACGCTGCAAAGCTTAACAAGGGTTTTTCTAACGTTACCAAAACAGGTGACATGTGACCTTTTCCTAGGGATGATGTCAATGTTTGACCTTTTAGGTTACAATGTGATCATTATCAAACACAAATCTGATAATATTTCGAAATTCTGAAGACGTTTTGAATAAAATGTCATCTTTGATTTAAACTATGATTAGGATAAAGGTGACAACGGTTTTAAGAGGAAACCATCTGTACTGTTACTTGACCGTTGACCTTCACATGATATGGAGAATTGAGGTAGAAGTACAAGTGTCTTATACTAAACGTGTTTACAAGTGATGTATTTCCGTTTAATTATTTTGGTGATTTTGAAAAAAATAAAACGGGAAATACACAATTGCATGTCAACAGAGTGGCACAAAACCGAAAAAATGAAAATAAAAATTACGTCATCAGCCTTCCGCTGTTTCCAAGTGTGTAAAGCACTTGAGATAGAACATGGATTCAAAAAGGGAAATGTGGGACGCGACATATGTTTTGAAAGTTGAAAATTCGAATAAGTGGTGCTCAATATGAAAAGTTCTGCTTTAAAGAAAACTCACTGTCGACTCAAACTAATTAATGTTCATCTTCATTATATTTTTCAGTCTTATAAAAAGTTCAGACACATGCTAAACAAATTTCTACTGCTTTCGGTGGACTGAACTTTTTTTTTTTTAAATCGTGAATAACATATTAGAAAAACATCTCCTAATTCACATGATCGCTGAAATGTTATGAAACACTCTAACCCAAGAGCTTTTGATTAAGATCAATTATTCGAAGAAGAAAAGTGTGATAACCACTTATAACTTGTTGGGAACCTGTGTACATTAACGTGAACATACTGTTATTATAATTTTTGGTAATAATCCTAGAATAATTAGTCGTAAGATGTTATCAGGCCATACACTAGGAGGCATTTTTTACGTACGACGCCGTTACAGTTTTCAACCTCACAATAAAGAAAAAAAACGTTAAAAAATTCCCGGATACAAAGTAATTAGAGTTGGTATTCTGTTGGGGATCTGCCCATGTTATAAATTCCTTGTGTAATAGGGAAGTCTTAAAACTGGGAGGTATATAAACGATGTGTTTGAGTAACATGTTAGGATGTCCAATGAATCTATTTTATTATCATAGTTTTGAACGAGTAACCCCCTCCCCCGAGAAATCAAATAACTAGGCATTATATTCAATGTTGCATGCGTTTAATTTCTGTATATAACTGTTAAAATCAATAAACTTCTGTTTGATGACTATAAAGTTGGCAATTTGCCAAAAATATGTATAGCATTTTACATTCTGTTCCTTATTTTTCTATTGTTAAGAGTGTGTGTAGTTTTATAGTGTTATCAATGGAACTCACGTGCTGTAAATCGTATACGAAAATTGGAATATTTACCCATAATTCTGTCGATAACTTAAACTTGGCGAAACTTTGTATCCTTTTTTTAATTCGCGTCAACACAATCCTCGTTAATTCGCGAAGTGGTTCAAATTCGTTTCCATATAAATTTGAATATCACATAAATTTGCTGCCAGGCTATGTAAGCAAAAGATATATCTGTACATTTTAAAATTTTAGAAATAGGTCGTCTCAAAAACGAACAACAGAAATATTGATTTGTAGAAATAAAGCCATTTCCTATCTTTCATTGTGTACATTTTTAGCACAAATTAACACTTAAAACCAATTATACAAAAGCTTAATTGATGGGATAGATATTTATTATCGAACAAAACTCTTTTTTTTTCTGCTGGAGGATTGTTTAGTCCCCGATGTATGCCCTAACCTTGGTGGACACTGTTATCTCTTTTGGTAGGTTTCATTATATACACTCTGTACTTATAATTTATTTCGAAATTAATCAGTACTCCTCTTAATTTTGAAATTCATAAATTAAGGGGTTTTACTACCTGCTCCTCTGTTTGAACAGTAATTTAGACAATTTGAATTTCCAACTTTTTGGCCTTTAGTATCACCGATAAGTCCTAGCAGGACGAAACAGCGGTAGGATGCTGTGTAATTCTTGCTCTATTTATTACTAAACTTTAAAGGTGAAGGCCCATGTGTGTGCTTTATGTTTATCCTCGGCAGATAAGGTGCAGGCCCATGTGTGTGTTTTATGTTTATCATTGGCAGATAAGGTGCAGGCCCATGTGTTGTCGCCATACTTTTGAAACTATGCCATATTGTTGCTAAGGGCCTATAGTATCAGCAGTAATCGACTTACAATTAGGCTATTTGGTTACCTTTGAGACAAACTTACTTAAATGCTGAACTCCCAAGGACATTATACTATGTAGTATTTGGTCTTTGGTTATACACAAATTGATACACCTCTAAGCACAGAGGGGTGAAAATCGGCGGTCATCAGGGATTTCTTTGGTTCGGGATACATTTGCATAAAATAATATAACATGGTAAATTTTGAAAAAATCTCAAAATTCTCAAAATCAAAATATTATATATAGATATCTAAATTTGAAGTTAGGGATCGGGCAAATAGCCTATTCCCTCTTTTTAAATGTGATACTCCTGTAATAGTTATTTGATAATTTCAGTTTCATAAAAAAATACAAAAGAATCTAAACAGAAAGTAATAAACAGTTAGTCTCTTTGGGATCATTTAAAAAGTGAACAAATGGACAATGTCAACCTGGGTTTTTTTTCTTCTGCTAAGACGTTGACCTCCATAAATGCATTTTCTTAACATCCTTGTATTTTTTCAAGGATATCCATGGACATATTTCCTTTGGTCATATTGCTCTTGTTTCACAGGGTTTCAGTTTAAATTACGATTTTGTTCAGACTTTATTATACTTTTGTTGTTTTCTCTCCAACTTGTAATTAAATAACTTAATGCATTTGGACAAATCTGATGTAAAACTTATTACATTTCATTTACATTTTTAAGCCTTTCGGGTTATTACAGATACGATAACGAAGTTTGTTTTTAACAAAACTTGAAAATAATCGATCCGGGTGGATGAGCTTGATTAGTAGAATAGAATTTATTTACGTCAGCAACGATCAAACTACTCATATCAGAAGATAAAATGATCTATCATCTGCCTATGCTAAAACTACCCACGAGAGCAGCAGTTTGTGAGGCCTCTGCACGATTTCCTTACACTGTTAATTACAGTACACAATACACTGTTAATTACAGTACACAATACACTGTTAAATACAGTACACAATACACTGTTAAATACAATACTCTCGTAAATACAAAGATTCGGCTATGCAGCCCACAGATCTTTGGTCCACATTTAATGATAGCTACATTAAGTGCTTAGAATGCCTATACAGACGATTTCACTCAAATTTTCGTTATTTTGATTTCAACTTCGAACTTCAACATTTATAACTTGTAAGGTTAAGGTAAGAGGTGAAATGATAAGGTCAGTCGTTATTCAGTAATCCAACATAAGTTACTTTCGTCATATAGAGCTAACAATATCTCGCGTAGTTTCTCGAAGTCACTATAAAGAAGTCCTACAGTCAGAATAAAATAAGTGTATTTATGCATGAGACAGATGAACGTAGAAAACACAGGTAAAGTAAGCCTAAATAGGTTACACTGCAGCAAACTTCTTGTTTCTAGGGCTCATGGATGATGTCAGAGGCCCGAAAATAGTGGAAATCGAAATCGGACAACTGCTGTTGAAACAGAGGAAGGGGGAGGTACACAAGTCCTTATTTATATGAATTTCAAAAACAAAGCACTGACTAACTTCTTATAATAAATAGAGTATATATAAACCGTGTTACTACCTAAAACAGATCACCTCGGGGATTAAGAAATCCAGGCTTTCCTGTGTATTAATCTGCCAGTTTTTATTTTCTGGTATATTTAAATCTCTTTGTCGTTGTTAGCACACACACACCATAGTATCATTGGTAAACGATGCAGCCAGTTTAAATCCTGCCTTCGGCTTACGCTAGCACAGGGGCTTATTGTTTTCAACTATTCGTTATATCTAATCATATTTCTATTTTTGTTTTTATATAATGCATGGGTTTATTTCGATAAAGGAGCGGATCGCTCAGAAAATTTCAGAACGTTATCATGTTTCTAATGTTGTAATTACTTCTTTCCCATATATAGATTGTATATACTTTTGTGTCTATTTTAATGTTAATAATGAGGGGACATAACAAAGATTATCATATCATTTAAATGAGTCTGTTCAATTTTATTTGACATAAACGCCGTGAACTGCTGACGGCATAATTTCTGTAGCCTGCACCCATTGCTCCTGCTCTGAACTTTTTAACGTCGATATATATATATATTTATCACATACCTGTTGAATCTTGTTATAGTGATACAAGCAATTTTCAGACCATGAAATACAACGTTCTGTATTGCACATGTGCAATACGGAATGTTGAATTTACCTACTAGCCGGAAATACTTTTAATGGGAATCCCCTTGTTATGGCGAACTGAAAAGTTTCTGGTATGTGCAAAAAATATCAAAGTTTATCAAATCTTTGTATCGATCAAATACGGAAGGTATGTGATAAAAGCAAGACTACACACTTGTGTTTTTCTAACGAATTAAAAAGCACTCATTTATTGCGTGGACTCGTGAATATATTCGTCCGCTCAATAAACTTGCGCTTTCTGATTCGTTAGAAAAACACAAGTGTGTGATCTTGCATATATATGAAACTTATTAAATATATATTTGCACGCTTGTTCCACACTTGACATAGCTAATTTATCAAAGAAACGTCATAAATAGCTCACTGGCTACATTTGTACCTTCAATACACTCAACTATGAAAAACTTCACATTCAATCACATATCTCCCGGACAAGTCTTTCCTTTTATAAATACCTGGAAACCCACTGCTTCCTGTTTCGGTTGCTGCTGCTGATAACAATCTCAATTAACATGTTTATGTACAAGAATAAGGTTAGCTAGGTCCCTATAATACTTCTTTTGTATATTTGGTTTTGTAACGTGAAATTTCTTGCATAGTAAAGTCATTTGGGCGCATAAAATCGTCCCATTTGGAGATGTCAAAACATGCGTTTGATGTGGGAAACACGATATCTGTGCTGCAAGAATATTCTCATTTAGATATAAAATGAATTCACTCGATTGCATATAAATCAACATCAAGCGTCACGAACTCCATGTCATCTCTTAATGTTTAATGTTAATATTTTATTTTGCAGCTTATAATATATTACAAGTGATCATACTTCTATTTCGTGTTTTATTTGCAGATTTCAGTGTCGAGTGCTACAAAAGACCACTTAAAAAGATAATTACAATAACCTAAGAGCCTAGCTGAATCAGCATAATGATTTCTCGACGGATCGGAAAGTGTTTGTTTATTCTGCTTATCGTCTACTTAACGGTAACGGTTTATATCGCTTCGACAATGCTGTTGTCTACATCAACAGGTGTTGTAGACACGGATTATGGGTCCCCTGAGTCCAACGACGAGGATGATATGTCTAACATGAAGACAAATATATTCAACGAAGAGAAATATCAACTCTTTCGAATAAAGAATTCTGAATCTAGAAAAAGTCAACGCCAAACCAGTATGAATACAACCACAAAGAAAGTTGACAAGGAGTTCTTATTTGATAATATTAAAACACCGGAAGTGAAAATGGGCAGACAAATTTCCAAAACAAAGGATGTGAACGTTAAAGTTATGTTGGATGAATGGAAAAAGAAAATGGAATTACTGCGTCATGAACATCTTGAAAACGGTTATGTCACCAAACTAATGCATTTAAAACGAATCCTGGTTAATGCTCCAGGTGCGTCAAACACAGGAAATATTAACGCCCCAAATCAAAATAATGAAGAAGAAAACACCAAGAAACTAGTTAATAAAAACAATATAGTGATGGATCGGCGTCGTAATTCAGTAGACGCTTACAAAGATCTTCCGAGGTATCACCTTAACATGCAATCAATCCCCGGAGAAATAAAAGTGTACTCGGCGTTTTTAGATGAAAGGAAACCTACCAAATTCATAAGGATAGTTTTAATAGGTATTAGACTGGAACCTAAGAAAAGCACGGTTTGTAAATTTCTCCTTGCTGATCGATCTAATCACACAGTCACTTCGCAGATGACCTTGTACGAGACTTGTGAAGGTCACAATAAATATTTTACCTCGTATATTGGTTCATGCGAGATACCCGGTATTGACATTTTGCTTGATCAGGTAGGGTTAGCTGTGGATGGTGGTGACATGGATCTTTTTATGAAGGTGATTGATAACGGTAAGAAGAAAACAACGGAAATGCAGAATTTCGCGATATGTGTACCTCCGCTCTTTGGTGACGTCAATGTTTTAAGATTGACAGAGTTTATAGAATTATATAGGATACTCGGAGCTCAACATTTTGTTTTTTATCCCAAATTCGTTTCGTCTGAGATATCGTCACTATTGGACCATTACCAGAGTTTAGGTATAGCGACAGTAATGCTTTGGAATCTTACCATTCCTCTTAACGATATCTGGTACCACGGCCAGTCAGCCTCGGTTTGGGATTGTTTATATAGAACAATGTTTAAATTCAGACATGTAGCTTTCATTGACTTTGACGAATTTATCGTCCCAAAAATGCAAAACACTTTACCGGAATTTTTAACTTATTTACAGGAAGAACAAAATATCAATGACGAAATTATATCGGCTTATAAGTTCCAAAGTGCATTCTTCGATCCTAAATTCTTTAATGATGATGATATGCCGAAGTCGATGGAGATGCAGCGACTTGCAACAATGAACAGGACTCAAAGAACAAGAAAGTTGAGCAAGATAAGAACGAAATTGGTTGTAAATCCTGTTAACATATTCGAGGTTGGAATACACCACGTCAGCAAGCCGAACGAGGAACATTATCAATGCCTCGATATTAACCCTAAGCTTGCATTTATCCATCATTATCGTGAGTGCAAGGGAGACTATGGCATGAATTGTAAATTAACAACCAGAGATACCTCAATGTTAAAGTACAATACCTCACTTGTTAACGGTGTAAAACAACACCTAGGGGCAGCTAAACTACATAGACCACCTGTTTAGTTTCAGTTTTAGGCAGTTAGTAACATGAGTATAATTTATACGATCTTGAAAGTTTCATTTTGTTCCTCTGTCAATCAAAGTTATCACTGGTTGATTTAACACATTAAGATAATATTCTCAGAGGACTGGATCAAATACTGCAAACCGTTATCATTTCGTGAAGTCTATAATTTTCGCCTTTTTTTTAATTTTTGCGAATATTTTGTAAAATAACTAATAAATAGCAGCCGTTGGTATTTTTGCATTAATTTGCGAGTAGAGATGGTAGCTGTTTCAATATTTTGGGAATATTTTGTCAAAGAAGGAACACATAAACGCCGTTTTTTCTTTCAAAACTTGAAGTCCTCGCAAAAATGTCGTTGCAAAAAAAAAGCGAGAATAATATTATTCGCGAAGATTACATAATTTGCAACATACACATTTTAGGTAACCTATACATGTTGTATATATTTATTGTATTCGCTACAAGAATCTCTATGGAGGACTTTATAAATTTTGTCACAGTAGTTTAAAGTTAAAATCAATATGTTTAATTATTTTCTGCCATAACATCTTTTTTTCTGTCATGAGAATAAGAGAAGACCCTTATATTATCATTAAATTTTACATGAGCACGCCTCATACCAAAAGGTTCATAAGCCATCCCTACATCGTACCCCCTTGTCAATGAATAATTACATAATTAATATTTTTTATAATATACAGTGTATATATTTAAATATTTTGCTTACTCGACAATTTTCAAGAGATATGGACAAGCTGTGCCTGCACAAAATTCATTTTTGTATATTCAAATTAAAATCAAAAGACAGTCAATACCTCATGGTACTTCTTTAAAACAGCCAGCACAAATATTGTTGGCACTACATAAAAGTGAATGCTTTCATAATAATCAATGCTGTTGCATAGCATCAACCATATGTATGCTAATCTAAATCCTATGCGCAAACAATCGCCACCTTGGGCCCTGATATGTTTAGATATACGACACTATAGTATACTTTACTACATGAACACTCAAGTAAAAGTATGTAGTGTTGTATGGAATATATTTGTATGATATTGGATATGTTTTAATTTCCCATACAATGTCAATCAAAGTTAAAATATATTACTACCAGCGACACAGTTATGAATTCCTGCATTAAACACATCTGGGGGTGCAATTTACAGAAAGACAGTTGTTTGAAATATTAATATTTGGAAATAACAAAAAAAGAACTGGAATTAAAGACATCGGACTGGAGATACAACATCTGCCAATCCCACACGTTACCACGATTCTTATAAGAAATGAACACTATCAAAATGAAAGATCAAAACCTTGCGAAGGGAAATAACTCTAGGACAATTTGCTTTGTCATCATCATGTACAAATAAGGAAAAATGCCTGAGGTAGAACTAAAATTGCTGTAAAATGGAAATCTTCTCTGCTATTTTAGTGAATTATAGTAAATCAATCAAAATTGCTTGTATAGGAACCGAATTCTTATCTGACCATGCAGAGTAGAAAGAATATTATCCAAGTGTCACCTCCAAACAGTGGAAGCAGGTTAAGGTATCCGACAGTTAAACCTTGGTTTTAGAACATTCGTGTATACAAAATATCAACCATCAAACCTAAAATAAATTCGGCTTGATAGATACCCATACAGGTCGACAAAGGTGAAGGATTAAAAAAATGCCTTTTGAAATTGTAAGAACAGTTGTAAAGAAAGAGGATTGCTGTACAATGAGATATCCGGAGCATCTCACAATTCAACAGAAGCTACACATACTATTTGTTTATATCCCGTCTTCCTAGCAGTATAATTAAAACAAAGAGGAGGTTGAAAGCATCAAAGCAGAGGCTTGAAACCAAAATGTGACAAATGGAGACTCAAAAAAATCGTACCGGGGAACAAAACATGGTTGCATTTCTGATTCTGATGGAAAACTCGATAACAAGGTACGTACGCCTTTCTAAAGGCGATGTATATCCAATAATTGTTCAGAGAATGAAGACGTCAAAAACGTTTTGTCGTTTCGATTGTTTGATTCACTAAAATATCACTAAAATATCTATGAAAGCCGGCAAAAGTGCCACTAGTATATGTATATATATATGAAAAGAAATCTTACACCACAGAGCGGCAAACATATACACGAAAGGCGCCATGCCGTTTGCACGATAACTCCCAAACTGATAGGTGAATGTTACACATCTACAGTGAAAACAATTCCATCCCACATATTTATAAAACCTTTCCCTGTGTCGTGGATTTGCCATGGCTATATTTAGCTTGCTAACGTTTCGATAAATTATCGTTAACGATGCCGAACTTCTCGATTGCCAATAGTGCAGTTCCGTCGACGAGCTGCATAGCAGATGGGGGATAATGTGGTGGTGTAAAAACACAACATTGCGCTGTATCATTCAGAATTAAATTCATAAATACCGCGACAAACATTACATCATCATTTTTCCTGTAGTCTTGTTGTTACAAGTTTGTAAGAAATTTCAAATGATGTGACTATTACTTGTTTATCGTTAATCCCTGCTTCTGTTTCTATTTTACAGATGATTCGGTATCCAAGAGCTTGCCCCAATACAGTGACTTTTGTGACAGATGTCGACTGCTGACGGATACAATTACAACAGAAGGTTCCAACAAATGCCGGTTGATGCCGGTGATATTGAGGCGGATGTTTATATCTTGCTGTTTAGTGTACCTTGTTGTTTTGTTGTCACTAGTCCAGCTCTCGCTTACAGGACGTTGAAGAGTTCAATGGCTGGTGACGACGACTGTCTTGTTTACATTACAAATGAATGTATTAGTTTCTCCGTGTAACACTGACTTGGTCATATTACGTAGAAGGATTAGTATAAAGTAAAAGCCTACCTGGCATATGTAACTATATCTACAATGAGTGACATCCGGCACTCAAACTACCTGCAAATTATCAGTGCTGTATGTATTTAACTACTAAATGCACTCGTTGTAAATTAGTTGGTTTCTCGAATCTGTTCGGACGCATCGAGTATATTGTGGAAAATCAAAACCTTTATTCTGTCTTCAATTTCACTCGCAGTTTCACTTAAACAATAGTTAAAAAAGCATGGTATGTTCTGGATATCTGCGAAGTTTCTTCATGTTAATTCGGTTATGAAATATACGGTATTGGCAAGAACAAATTCTTTGTTTATTTTTGAAAAATGTCGGAAATTTACAGTTGTCATTTCAAATTCTTTTCTATTCATGGATTGACCTTACTTTATGAATTTGCTTGACATGAAATATTGTACTACAAAGGATTCCAATTAACGTTGTTTTATGTCATTTTTCACTGAATATCACAATTTCTTCTGGTTAACGTAATATGACGATTGGAGAAATTCATTTTAATACTTCTGTGATTTCGCTTCATATCAAGATTTTCTGGACAGAAAAGATGCGAGAAAAAAACACCAAAAACAAAACAAGCATCAATACATGCCATTTATTTACAGTCCAAAACATCAATTCATATATAACAATATTCTTTACAAGAAGGTAATCAGCATTTACTGTATTTCCGTTAACCAGAATTAGCATGTACACAATGTCCAGGATATTCAATGGGTACGAATCTGAATTTGGAGGTGGTAATAGGCTGATTTTGAGTGGGCATTTCCTCCAAGATCCAGAAGATACGAGTTTCAACTGTACACTGGCATGCCCGGCACTCCCTGCTCCTGAAATACAATAGCGAAAGAACTGTGTCAAAGTCAGGGTTAATATTGTGTCGATGTAAATATGGTTTAAGCACAGGGACCCGAGAATGAATTTGTTACCGCAGCTAAGCTCATGTGTTTAGAGTGATGTTGACGTTTTTATGAATGGTTTGGTTTCATTGTGTTTAACGTCCTATTAACAGCTAACGTCATTTACTTAAAGTGCCTCCATGTGTGCAATGTATTCGTGCTTGTATGTGTGTGCGCTTGAGGCAAGGTATGTTAGTGGTTTTGCCTCTCACTGAAATAAAATCCAGAAGGCACTATACACAGTGGTCCTACCAGGTCACATTATACTCGCAACGGGTATTCCAGTTGTTCCGATAACCCTAAATACTAAACGTTTAACAGGGAAAACAACTTGGCTTTTGGCACCTTTTAGGGGTTTGTATCAACTAAAGGTGAAAAAGCTACCCTCGGTGATGTTACAACATCATTTGGGGTGACATTTTACCAAGTGTTGATCTAAACCTTCAACATGTCATATATAACTCTACACACCAGGGTAAGTTCAAACCTACCAACTATAGCTAGGTCCCTATGGGGTAGAGTATTTATACAAAATAAAATATCAAGGCAAATAATTTATAAAACGATTTTGTGCAGAATTAAGTAACTAGCATTACCCTGACGATGAAATCAAAGTCCTTCAAAGCTTTCTGATTCAGATAATACTTCATAGTTTAATACTGCATTGTCCAATTTTAGGAATTACTAGGTTTCCTACGTCTGATTTTAGTTAATATTGTATTGTCTATATCGCATATAATTTAATATTTCATTCTCTTTCTTATTAAAATAATAATATACTTTTTATGTCGGAACTAAGTTGCTAATGGATTGTCTATTTCTGATTTATTTAGTTATTCGCTGTTCATCGCTGGTTTTAGATAATATTATCTTTCATTTCAATTAATATACTGTAAATTACTTATTAAAACGAACTGAAATTTTAACGCATTATCGAATTTCAACAAACTAACGTATTCATGAATTGGCGAACTCTCAAAAATAATGTATAGAAAACAATAAACAGAAAATGTCAATTGGCCCAATCATAATGTAGCGAAATCTTTCAAACGCGAACGCGCTTTAATAAGACTACCGCTAAAACAGGTACGTTTGCAGTAGTACTGTCTATACAGTATGAGTCTGATTTAGGTATTACTGCGGTTTCTATAGCTAATCTTATGTATTTCTTAATTGTCCACATTATCTATGATTAATATGACACTGCAATGTCCCGATCGTTTTCTGATTTTGGGAAATCATTTTGTCTTTCTGCTATAAAGGCAATAGTACTGTAAACCGGGAAATTTTCGCCCAGTCAAACTTTCGCCTTTCGCCCACGAAATCATCTTTCGCCCTGTGTTAATTTCGCCTTTCGCTCACGAAATCAACTTTCGTCCAGTGTTAACTAAGCCCTTCAATATAATTACTTTGTTTGATATGTTGTTGTCATATACTCACTGTAACGATAAATTCACCATCATCACGGAGGGTGAAAAGGGCGAAAATCAAACTTCAGCTAAACCTTCCCGGTTTTACTTCATTTACTTAATAACTGGTTTTATTTTTTATCTAAGACACTCATCAGTACGATGGCCGACAAGAGCCTGACAAAAAGATATGAATTTTCATATCATTTTGTACCACGGTACACTTTCATATGGTATACAAATATATGAAAATTCAAATCTGTGTGTACCATGTAAAAGTTTACCATAGTACATACAGATTATAAACAACTTTACAAAAAATACCAACAGCCGATATCAGCCGGCAAACTGATTTGAATTTTCATATCTTTCTGTACCGTTCAACTTTTTTCATTTCTTTTTGTACCACCTACGGTACAAATAGATATGAAAAAAGTGTACCATAAAATCACGCGTTACACTTTTTTCATATCTTTCTGTACCGTGGTACACTTTTGCCCGGTACAAAAAGATATGAAAGCTTCTCTCCTTTTAGTACCGCGTTACACTTTTTTCATTTCTTTTTGTACCACCTACGGTACAAATAGATATGAAAAAAGTGTACCACCAGAGCATCGGAATGTTGTTATCGGACACTATAACTAGAACTGACCCCGAATAGTGAAGCCCTAATTACAACGTCGAAACAAGTCGTAAAGTTCATTAATCACNGTAAATGTAAGAATCAGAAAAATAATCCATAATGACTTCCTTTTTAACGTAAAACTTTTATAAAATTTGGTAAAGGATATTGAACAGTTGATTTCAATTTAAATGAGTAAGTAATAGTTTGGTAGCTCATTTGTTGTAATCAAAATAACAGACATTCCGTGCGATAACATTTCATTGCATGTGATGACAGCCTTATCAGGGTGTAATTTGTCATACTTGGTAACCTTTACGTCTGATGGTTTCACATGTTTCTGTTCCATGGCTGTTTTCGGCCGTTATTTTGGTACAGAAAGATACAAAAGCAACGGGTTGATTTTATTTCTGCTTTCATATCTTTGTGTACCATGGTACAAAAAGATATGAAAATTCATATCTTTTTGTCAGGCTCTTATCGGCCATCGTACGTCAGGCTGTCCACGTTACAAACTCACCTGCTTATTTCCGGACACGTTCCCACGGAGATAATCTGGGTAAGGTTAGACGCCACAGGCGGCAGCTGAATCATCACAATCTGCCTGAAAACAAGAAGCTATAGTTAGCCAGCAATATTCCACTAAAACTCTATGGTAATAAACATAAAGCGACCAGAACATAATCTTATTAATTTAATACAGTTATTAAATAATATCTTTTTAATATATTAAAATCCCGAAAATAAGCCGTGGCTTATTTATCATTTTTAGCAAAGAAAAACAGGGTTATTTTCGAAACCATTTAAACAGTAAGCCATATACAGCCTATTTTCAAAGCCAAAAGTGATGTTTCTAAGATCGTCAGACCTAAGACAGAGTATAGGCAGAGATAAATATTGTTGGAGACGCAAGGAAATATTGATATACAAATCAGAATTCTAATAATTGAAGTAATTACCTGATCAATGTTTTACCATTCAAAAATTCAGTTCATGGTATTGTTTCTTACTGTGATGCAGGGAATACTATTCAAAGACGATTTTTTTTTTTTAAAGCCGACTTTTTTTTTAGACATGGGCCGCTTTTTAATTGTTTATGAAATATGGACATACTTAGTGATTTGATGTTGTTTTCTGGTCAGCCTTGGCATAGACATATGAAATATTACCTTTAACTCATTTCTCCCTGAAGACACATTCTTTTGAACTCTTCCAATTCAAAGGTTGAGATAGTTCATAATGAAGTTTCAGGGATGAATAAGTTAAAAGTAGACTAACCGGTCGGTTAATACAAATGAAAATGTCCATTATTGACTGCAATGAATCCAGCGCTTATTTTCGAATAAGACTTCTTATCGAGTTTCCAGGTGTTATGGTATAGGTTTCCTTGTTATGTACCGTAAAGTGTTTATTGACATTGGGAATTGATAAGTGTTCAACAGCTCATCATTGGGTAATAATTCAATAAGTGGGGCTAAACAAGATAAGGCCTATCACAGGAGAATAAAATGTTCAACTACTAGTATTAGATTATTGAGTTTTAACACCAGATCTACGACCAGTCACCGGTTAACCTGTGATATCCTATATAAGATAAATATACAAAGATTCACAGTCACCGGTTAACCTGTGACATCCTATATAAGATAGATATACACAGATTCACAAGGCCATTGGTTGGAAAGGAGAAAATGTTTAAAAAAATAAGAGAGAGAGAGAGAATGAATGTCAATATTTTGCAGAAAAAAATATTCAAAAGATAAAGAATATATGTGTAACAACTGAACTGATTTTTCTACAGTGTTCCCTATGCAGAGGACCTACCACTGCTACAAGCCCCGCATTAGTCGCCTTGCTCTATCATGGCGTGGAATACACAAGGCAAATCAATTCTTGCGAACCTGCATTTCAAGGAAATTTTAATTGTGCAAAAACGAACGAATATTTTAATACTTTTACTTACGTTCTACAGCAATCACAACAGCTTCGGTAAATATGACGTTTTGATATCCTCTTCTCTACTCCAGCAATTTCACGAGGAAGATGGTTATTTTCAAAGCCATACACATTCGACATTTTTGATAATGTGGACGGCATCCAAACAATTCTTTGATACATCAGTGCCAACTGTGCATTGGAATAGACTGAATTCAATTGTTCTGAAGTTGAAAGTTGTGAGTCTTGTATACGTTTGTTTCTAAACGTCCTTATTTTTGAATCAATTAGGTTTTTTAAAGATGGCAGACTTGGATCTTGTCCGGAAAAATACCGAAACGAGTCTTCGATTTGTACGTTCATTGGTAAAGTTATATGGTTCTCACCAAAAATTACTGAAGCCGCCCCGAATGCAATCACCACGCGTATATTAACAATCATTTCGACGGCGTACGTTTGAATACCGAATTAACATTTTTAAGTCAAAAAAGTAATATATATATATACTGTAAAATAGGTGGGTGTCAAAGTATGTCA